GAAAGAATAGAAAGAATAGAAAGAATAGAAAGAATAGAAAGAATAGAAAGAATAGAAAGAATAGAAAGAATAGAAAGAATAGAAAGAATAGAAAGAATAGAAAGAATAGAAAGAATAGAAAGAGAGACAGACAAAAAGCGATAAAGAAAAAAAAGAACGTCAGAAGGGCAGAAAGACAGAAAGACAGAAAAAGAGCACGACACAATGACGGTAAGACGGAAACGCGGAAAAATTAAAAAGCGAAAAGACAGAAAACCAGAATGACAGAAAGATAGAGAGAATAGAAAAGACAGAAACAACAGAACGTCGAGAAAACATAGAAGGAACAGATCAGTGAGATTAGACCGAATGAGAGAAAAAAGAAATACGATAGATAGGATAAAAAGGGCAGATAATAAATAAAACATAAAGGACAAAAAAGACTGAATATACAGAATCAACAAAAAAACAGAACCGGAAAATAAATAGGGCGAAAAATAGAAACGATAGGAAAGGAAGAACGGACAGAAAGAACAAAACCGACAGAAAGGGTAGAATAGACAGAAGAACAGAAGAGACAGTACAAACACAAAGAAAAGGAAGTGCAGAAAAGACAGAAAAGGAAGAGAGGACAGAATGGGCAGACAAATCGGAAAAAATAGAACAGAGAGAACGGACAGGACGCACATTTACGAGAACAAGAACAGAAAGGAAAAGATACATAGCATAGAAAAAACTAATAGGTCAGATAAAACAGAAACCATTGACTAACAGAGAAATAGAAGGACAGAAAGAATAGAACAAACGAACTGATAGAGGAGAAGGATAAAAAAATGGGTTGAAAAGAAAGAATAGAAAGTACAGAAAAAACAAAATTGGCAGAAAATACAGAAGGAGCAGAAATAACAGGAAGATTAGAAAAAATTGAAAGGATAGAAAGAACAGAAAAATAAAAAGAATAGAACGAACTTAAGTAGGATAACTAGAACAGAAACAATGGATTAAGAGAAAGATTGGTAGATACAAAAAGAAAAGAACAGAAAAAATAGAACAGATAGAAGAAGGACAAAAATGGGTTCAATATAAAGAATAGAAAGGTTAAAAAGAATGGAATGGACAGATAGGACAGAAAAACTAACAGAACAAATAGGACCGGAAGAATGGATAGAACAAACAGTAATGGCAGAAAATCAAATAGAAAAGATAGAAAGGTATAGGTAAGGAAAAGGACACAAAGAACTGAAAATGCAGGAAAATAGAAGGAGAGAAAGAATACAACAAAATTGGACTAAAAAGAAACAATAGAAAGAGTAGAGAGGATGGAAAGTATAAGTAGGACAGAAAAAACAAACAGGACAAATAGGACCACAAAGACAAAGTACACTTGAAAAAAAAATAGAAACTCTATGTTGCACAGAGAGAACAGAAAAAGCAGAAAGGACAGAAAATACAGAATGATAGGAAGAATAGAACGACTAAAAAGAATAGAAAGAGCAGAACGATCTGAATGGACAGAAATGACAGAAAAGACAGAAAAAATAGGTAAGGTAGAAAGTACAAATCCGGTAGATGGAATAGAAAAAACAGAAAAAATGGAAAGATTAGATAGCACAGCTAGGACAAAATAAACTAATAAGACAAATAGGACATAAACAATAGATGGACAGATAGAATAGAATAAATAGAACGGATGAAGGAGGAAGAACAAAAAAATTGGTTGGATAGAAAGTATAGAAACAGTAGTTCGGATAGAAAAGATAGATAAAAGAGAAAGAATTAAAAGAACAAATAGAACAGAAAGGACCAAGACGACAGAGGGAACATAACGGTTAGAACAAACAGTAATGAAAGGAAGGATAAATAGAATAGGAAGAACAGAAATTTTGTAAGAGTGGAAAGGACAGAAAAAATAGATAGAAATATAGAAAAGGAAAACGGAAAGACACAAAGACAGAAAAACAGAAAGAAAGACAGAAAGACACAACGACGAAAAGACGGTAAGACAGAAAGGCAGAAAAACAGAAAGCGATAAAGAAAAAAAGACATGGGGACAGAAGGACACAAAGACAGGAAGAAAAAAAGAGAGCACGACACAATGACGGTAAGGCGGAAATACGGAAAAATTAAAATGCGAAAAGACAGAAAACCAGAATGACAGAAAGACAGAGAGAATAGAAAGGACAGAAGCAACAGAACGTCGAGAAAACATAGAAGGAACAGATCAGTGAGATTAGACCGAATAACAGAAAAAAAAAACGATAGATAGGATAGAAAGGGCAGAAAGAACATGGATGACAATACACAGAAATAATAAATAAAACATAAAGGACAAAAAAGACTGAATATACAGAATCAACAAAAAAAACAGAACCGGAAAATAAATAGGTCGAAAAATAGAAACGATAGAAAAGGCAGAACGGACAGAAAGAACAAAATCGACAGAAAGGACAGAATAAACAAAGCAAACAGAACATAAAGAATGGCCAGAACGGATAGAACAGAGATCAACAACAGAATGGACAGAAGAACAGAAGAGAGGACAGAATGGGCAGAAAAATCGGAAAAAATTGAACAGAGAGAACGGACAGAACGAACATTTACGACAACAAGAACAGAAAGGAAACGACACATAGGATAGAAAAAACTAATAGGTCAGATAAAACAGAAACCATTGACTAACAGACAAATAGAAGGACAGAAAGAATAGAACAAATTAACAGATAGAGGAGAAGGATTAAAAAAATGGGTTGAAAAGAAAGAATAGAAAGTACAGAAAAAACAAAACTGGCAGAAAGTACAGAAGAACAGAAAAGTAAAAAGAATACATATAACGAACTTAAGTAGGATAACTAGAACAGAAACAATGGATTAACAGAAAGATTGGGAAGTACAAAAAGAAAAGAACTGAAAAGACAAAAAAATAGAGTTACAGAAAGAATAGAAAAAATAGAACAGATAGAGGAAGAAGGACTAAAATGGGTTCAATATAAAGAATAGAAGGGTCAAAAAGAATGGAAGGGATAGATAGAACAGAAAAACTAACAGGACAAATAGGACCGAAAGGGCCAAGAGAACAGAACAGACAGAATGGATAGAACAAACAGTAATGGCAGAAAATCAAATAGAAAAGATAGAAAGGTAGAGGTAAGGAAAAGGACACAAAGAACTGAAAAGGCAAGAAAATAGAAGGAGAGAAAGAATGAAACAAAATTGGATTAAAAAGAAAGAATAGAAAGAGTAAAACAAAGATCACTTGGAAAAAAACAAAAACTCTCTATGTTTGCACAGAAAGCACAGAGAGAACAGAAAAAGCAGAAAGGACAGAAAATACAGAATGAAGAATAGAACGACTAGAAAGAATAAAAAGAGCAGAATGACCTGAACGGACAGAAATGATAGAAAAGACAGAAAAAATAGGTAATGTAGAAAGTAAAAATCCGGTAGATGGAATAGAAAAAACAGAAAAAAATGGAAAGATTGGATGGCACAGCTAGGGCAACATAAACTAATAGGACAAATAGGACATAAACAAGATACGGACAGATAGAATAGAATAAATAAAACGGATGACGGAGGAAGAACAAAAAAATTGGTTGGACGGAAAGTGTAGAAACAGCAGATCGGATAGGAAAGATGGATAAAAGAGAAAGAATTAAAAGAACAAATAGAACAGAAAGGACCAAGAAGACAGAGGGAACATAACGGTTAGAACAAACAGTAATGAAAAGAAGGATAAATAGAATAGAAAGAAAAGAAGTATTGTAAGACTGGAAAGGACAGAAAACACAGATAGAAACAGATAGAACGAGAGAAAGACACAATAAGGGAAAGACGGTAAGACAGAAAGACGGAAAAGTGGAAAAGCGAAAAGGCGGAAAAGCAGAAAGACAGAAAGATAGAGAGAATAGTAAGGACATCAAAAGAACAGAATGTCCAGAGATGACAGAAAAGACATAAATAAAGAAGGACAAAAAGAACAGAAGGAACAGAGGAGAGAGTTACTCATTCTAGAACTTTTTCAGATGTTCTCAGTTAATTATGCGTCTTCGCTAATTCTTTAGTACAACATTAAGACCACGCTGCAGTTAAAAATCGCCCTTTTCTTCTCAATTTAAGATTGTTCTAGATGTTAAAATCTTCTCGAACTTACAACTGAATTGAACTCCATTTTCCTAGTATCTGGCATAAAAAGTATTTTATTTCCGTGTGAAGAGTTCCAATAGGTTAAGGTCTCGATATAACACAGATCAAAGTTTTTATAGTTTGCAATGGCGTCACAATGCGATGAAATATCACGACTAGTTAGTTAAGTAAAAATTCCCCGAGTGCCTGAATCGGTATTACAGTACTGAACTCTAGAATGGACTTTCCTTTCAAGGTAAAGCAACACGTGAAATTTTAATTTCCTGTTGGTGAGAACTCCCCCACATGTCTTCCACGTGACGCAGTCCAAAACACACCCTGCCATGTGTGATAAATAAAGTTTTCAAGGATAATTAAGAATTTCACTGAACTATTTACCATACCGGATTTTGCTTGAACCACTCCTTTGTGCTCTTAGAGACAAATGGCCGATCCGTTCCTCCGCGTAATTAAAGCGAATTCTGCAGATTCCAAGCCCAAAGCGCAGCAGCATTAACGCTAGGAATTTTTTATTTCGCTTTCTTATAAAATACTTTGCACCGGAGCTACTTATCAGCAAGGACGAGCTTGCCGCTCATTATTATTAGCACATTATAGCAAGGTTCTTAACTCTCGCCGAGAACCCAACAACGAAGGCTGTTACCTAGCTTCACATTGTTACGATGCTGGTAGCCACAACTTATGACTCCAATATTTCTAAATCACAGAAGGAATTAACCCGATAATGTTCTCGTACAAAAACCCGCTCCGAGCGCTCTACCCACGACAAGCTTTGTTGCGAATCGCACAATCGCCATTCTAATCGAAAAATACAGGACCGGCCTGTTTTTCTTCACAAATAATCGGTGCCAAGGCCGCCCGTCAACCGCAGTACTCACCTTTAAATTCAGCTCAGTGGATTAGTTCAAGTATTGTTTCAAATGTTGCATGTTCGGCTGGGTGAACCTGAAAAACAGACACAGTTTTTGAGAAAATCGGCTGAGTCAGGAGGATGGAATAAGTTCGCAGGAAATGAATCAAAAAAATTCGAACGAAGCTGAAAACTGCGCCCAAGTACGTGATTCATGAAGGCAAGTGCAGGAATTTCAAACGAGTTATTGAAGTTCGTCTAGTCATAGCAAAGCTGGGGCGAATGCAAAGTGCACATTTTAAATAACTCTGACAGAAATATAATTGTTTGTCACAGGCATGGGTGTTTGTTTGGACGAGGAGCGAATTTTAATGGGCGCGGTGGGTGAGTCGATGGCCGAAGATGGGTTGCTTGAGCTTTGCACAAGCGGAAAAGTGGTTACAGTTTTGTAGTTTTTGTCTAAAATATCCAGATTTTTGTAAAAAAATAAAACTTCTAAAATAAGCAAAAGATTATGATTCCATATTTGTGCTTAATCAATGCAATCATAGTTTTTATAATTACTTATACATGGTGACACAAAAAAATATAATGAATAAATCTATTTTGTTGATGAAATCAAGAAAAACTCTTTCTATTTTTCCAAAAATTTGATACCATTAGACCATTGAAAAAAAGTTCATTTTTAAAAAAGCTGTCTTAAAAGTGTGAAAAAATTCAGGGACGTAGACCTCGACATGCTGATTCCAAAAATATAGCCTGTCGATGGTCACGGAGCAACATTTTCGAAAGAATCGGTCCGAAATGCGAATTATTGAAAATTTGTAAAAATTCCGATTATCAACGGACGTTTCTGGGAAAACGGTTGCAGTTATCAAACAAACGAGACCGAAAGTGACATCTAGAGCCCGAAATGTACAAGAAAATGTATTTAGTTCAGTTTCGAAAATGTCAAAATTTCGCAAAAATTTTAATTGGAAAATTTTCACTTTTAAAAAAAGTTGTCTAAAAATTGTGAAAAAAATCAGGGACGTAGATCTCGACATGCTGATTCCAAAAATATAGAGCGTTAATGGTTACGGAGCAACATTTTCGAAAGAATCGGTACGAAATGCGAATTTTTGAAAATTTCTAAAAATTCCGATATTTCGACAGTCGATTACGGAAAAACGGCTGCAGTTATGGAAGAAACGAGGCCGGAAGTGAGTTCTAGAGCCCGAAATGTACAAGAAAACGTGTTTAGTTAAGTTTCGAAAATGTCCACATTTCGCAAAAATTTAAAGAAGGGTGGACCATTGGAAAATTTTCTCTTTTCAAAAAGTTGTCTAAAAATTGTGAAAAAATTCAGGGACGTAGATCTCGACATGCTGATTCCAAAAATGTAGCGTGTTGATGGTCACGGAGCAACATTTTCGAAAGAATCGATACCAAATGCGAATTTTTGAGAATTTCTAAAAATTCCGATATTTCGAGAGTCAATTACGGAAAAACGGCTGCAGTTATCGTAGAAACGAGGCCGGAAATGAGTTCTAGAGCCCGAAATCTACAAGAAAACGTGTTTAGTTTAGTTTCGAAAATGTCAAAATTTCGCAAAAATTTGAAGAAGGGGGGGACCATTGGAAAAATTTCTCTTTTCAAAAAGTTGTCTAAAAATTGTGAAAAAATTCAGGTACGTAGATCTCGACATGCTGATTCCAGAAATATAGCGTGTTGATGGTTACGGAGCAACATTCTCGAAAGAATCGATACCAAATGCGAATTTTTGACTATTTCTAAAAATTCCGATAATTCGACAGTCGATTACGGAAAAACGGCTATAGCTATCGAAGAAACGAGGCTGGAAGTGAGGTCTAGAGCCCGAAAGGTACAAGAAAACGTGTTTAGTTAAGTTTCGAAAATGTCAAAATTTCGCAAAAATTTGAAGGGGGGAACATTGGAAAAATTTTTCTTTTCGAAAAGTTGTCTAAAAATTGTGAAAAAATTCAGGGACCTAGATCTCGACATGCTGATTCCAAATATATAGCGTGTTGATGGTCACGGAGCAACATTTTCGAAAGAATCGATACCAAATGCGAATTTTTGAGGATTTCTAAAAATTCCGATATTTCGAAAGTCGATTATGGAAAAACGGCTGCAGTTATCGAAGAAACGAGGCCGGAAGTGAGTTCTAGAGCCCGAAATCTACAAGAAAATGTGTTTAGTTAAGTTTCGAAAATGTCAAAATTTGGCCGAAATTTGAGGAAGGGGGGACCATTGGAAAAATGTCTCTTTTCAAAAAGTTGTCTAAAAATTGTGAAAAAATTCAGGTACGTAGATTTCGACATGCTGATTCCAAAAATATAGCGTGTTGATGGTCACGGAGCAACATTTTCGAAAGAATCGATACCAAATGCGAATTTTTAAGAATTTCTAAAAATTCCGATATTTCGACAGTCGATTATGGAAAAACGGCTGCAGTTATCGAAGAAACGAGGCCGGAAGTGAGTTCTAGAGCCCGAAATCTACAAGAAAATGTGTTTAGTTAAGTTTCGAAAATGTCAAAATTTCGCAAAAATTTTAAGAAGGGGGGACCATTGGAAAATTTTCACTTTTAAAAAAGTTGTCCAAAAATTGTGAAAAAATTCAGGGGCGTAGACCTCGACATGCTGATTCCAAAAATATAGTATGTCGATGATCACGGAACAACATTTTCGAAAGAATCGGTCCGAAACGCGAATTTTTGGAAATTTCTAAAAATTTCGATATTTCAACGAACGATTCTGGGAAAACGATTGCAGTTATCAAAGAAACGAGGCCGGAAGTGAGTTCTAGAGCCCGAAATCTACAGGAAAATGTGTTTAGGTAAATCTCGAAAATGTCAAAATTTCGCAAAAATTTGAAGAAGGGGGGACCATTGGAAAAATTTCTCTTTTCAAAAAGTTGTCCAAAAATTGTGAAAAAATTCAGGGGCGTAGATCTCGACATGCTGATTCCAAAAATATAGTATGTCGATGATCACGGAACAACATTTTCGAAAGAATCGGTCCGAAACGCGAATTTTTGGAAATTTCTAAAAATTTCGATATTTCAACGGACGATTCTGGGAAAACGATTGCAGTTATCAAAGAAACGAGGCCGGAAGTGAGTTCTAGAGCCCGAAATGTACAAGAAAACGTGTTTAGTTAAGTTTCGAACATGTCAAAATTTCGCAAAAATTTGAAGAAAGGGGGAAAATTTTCACTTTTAGAAAAAATTGTCTAAAAATTGTGAAAAAATTCAGGGACGTAGATTTCGACATGTTGATTCCAAAAATCTAGCATGTCGATGGTCACAGAGCAACATTTTCGAAAGAATCGGTCCGAAATGCGAATTTTTGAAAATTTCTAAAAATTTACTATTCTAAACACTTTCAGGTCTTAGGCGACTTAGTTTTTATCATAATCATTATTATCGAGATCTCCTTGTCAAGGTTAAATCTATGTTAATAGTTAAGTTAAAAATTTTTCTGCAAAAACTCCGACCCAGAATCGTACCATCTCTACTTCGAAAGCGCAAATCCCTAAAAACCCTAATTAATTTATGATATACCACAACCAGCCACTAATCTCCGTATAATAAATTTAATTAGATACGCGAACGTCCGTAATTATACCCGACTTGTGTTTGCCTAATTATACCCATCGTATACATTACCATCGAAAAAAGCGCGTCCAAGCAGTACCGGCGAATCTCCTTCTAAATGGATATACGGGATATCATTGTGTGCAGCTGGAGGAAATTTATACAACGATAATTGCGAATGAAGCATCAATTTTCTCGTGCTGAAGGCTAATAAATATGAATTTGCGTTAAATGGCGGAGGATAAGTAATGGTATACTGTATTAGACTAATGTTACGGGTTTGTGTCTGTCTGCTTTGAAATGTATGAGAGTGCTTGTCATACTTCCTTGATTGTATCGGAACGGGTGTTGATGGCTTTCATCTGATGGGATTTAAATCGGGGGGGAAAGGTGGACGTATTTTGTTTCGACTCTCACGACCTGCAGTAGCTTTTCTTTGTTAAATTCGGTTAAAAAAATCACAAACGTATTACTTAATCTTTGACTCTTGATGATTTTCTCAGATACGGCGACGTCGAACTTTCATTTTCACAGTAATGAAAGTCGGCAAGCTCTCATCATTATTTTGCGATTTTTTATAGACTGACGAAGTAATAGTCGTTGAAATATTAACATTATTATAAATTTATAGCCACAGCTCATTACGTTCAATTAGTGGAACTAAGACGATTTTAATCCGATTTGGGCTTCTTATGAGAGTGAATTATTAAGAACTTCAATTAAGGCAGATAAGCCTGAATGCATCGACAGACGAGGCAAATAGAAGACTTGGAAACATGTAAGCTACAACATACTTCACTAAACCTTTTAGAAGACATTTAACAAGAGTATAGGAACTTGTGGCTACAGGCAGTTAACAAGATTAACTACAATTATGCTCGTTTGACCTTGCTGTAAACCCTTCAAACGACTACGTCTAAAAATAAAGCCGCGTTGACCTGTGATAAATAAATCTGCAGCTAAAGCCACACTTACACGTCCCTGAAAACTGGCGCCCGCCGAAGTTGATTATTTCGTGCGCTATTGTAGGCAAACCAGGCCATCGACCAGTGAAAGCACCAAAACACTCTTACTTTCGGTTTTAGCAATTAATTGACCTTTCGAGGATTCGAGGTGTCGTACTGTCACTCGGCTGCGCTTCCTCGTCACGTCGCAACGGAAATGCTTGAAGATTCCCATCGACCGCAGTCCAGGTAACAGCATATGGTAGTTTCAGCTCTTATGTCATACCAGCAACGAAAGTCACGCCCCGGAATGTGGACGGTATCTTGTGATGTAATCTCTTTTTGTCTTTGTGTAAGTGCGAAAATAACTGGTTTGCGTGAACATTTCCACCGAAAATGTTTGTTTTGTCTTTGCAAAAAGATCGAGGTTTAACTGTTTAGGTGGTTTAGAGGTGATTTATTCCGGTATTGTATCGGTTCTGCGTTGATGGGATCGTTAGCATGCAGAAAGAAGTCGTAAATTGGGAAAGTTATGCAACGGTGGATTTTTA